AAAGCTGCCCACGTGAAGGTAACTGATTAAACAGCTGGAGAATTCCAGCCTGGAACGGCGGAGGGGTTAAACAGCTGGAGAATTCCAGCCTGGAACGGCGGAGGGGTTAAACAGCTGGAGAATTCCAGCCTGGAACGGTGGATGGGTTAAACAGCTGGAGAATTCCAGCCTGGAACAGAGTATTCTGCTCACATAATCAGGGCTGAGCAGGGAATGTCTCGGATGGGTTAAACAGCTGGAGAATTCCAGCCTGGGATGGTGGATGGGTTAAACAGCTGGAGAATTCCAGCCTGGAACAGAGTATTCTGCTCACATAATCAGGGCTGAGCAGGGAATGTCTCGGATGGGTTAAACAGCTGGAGAATTCCAGCCTGGGATGGTGGATGGGTTAAACAGCTGGAGAATTCCAGCCTGGGACGGTGGATGGGTTAAACAGCTGGAGAATTATGGTGTGGAACAGTGGATGGGTTAAACAGCTGGAGAATTCCAGCCTGGAACAGTGGATGGGTTAAACAGCTGGAGAATTCCAGCCTGGAATGGCGCATTCCACTCACATAATCAGGGCTGAGCAGGGAATGTCTCGGATGGGTTAAACAGCTGGAGAATTCCAGTGTGGAACAGCAGAGGGGTTAAACAGCTGGAGAATTCCAGCCTGGAATGGTGGATGGGTTAAACAGCTGGAGAATTCCGGCCTGGAATGGTGGATGGGTTAAACAGCTGGAGAATTCCGGCCTGGAACGGCGCATTCCACTCACATAATCAGGGCTGAGCAGGGAATGTCTCGCCAATCTAGCCTGGGTCTCAGAGGGAGCGTGGCTGGGAGGCTGCAAACCTGCACGCATACTAATCTGGGCACTCAGAGTGAACAGCCACAGCTCACCCATCTCCCTGGAATTTGCTGGATATTCCAGCCCTCCACATTAATTACCGGTGGATAAAGAGATCATAGCCAAGCATCCGAAGGCACTGCTGCACTGAGCTAAATGGCATTAATTAGGCTGCATCTATTTCAGCAATTTGCTAACAAAGTGCTACAAAAAAATGGCTTCACCTGATATTATCCTCTGGCTCAGGTTCACTGTCACTGTCCTCAGCTTTCCGCTTAATTCCTCCTCCTCCCAGGGCCGGGCTGCCATCAGGAGTCAGGCTGGTATTTGGAGATGCTGAAGTTGTCTGGGGTCAGAGTTATTACAGATAAATAGGGGGAAGGGGGGGGAGGAGGATTTATTAGGCATTTTAAATTCAAGTTACAATTAACAGCTCTGCAATAATCACACGTGTTATTTTCAGTTCCAGAAAAACTCCAGGCAAAGGCTGCACAACCCTGAACCCGGTAAGCCAAGGAGCAAATGGAAAGAAGAACACACCTCTATTAAAAAGGCAGGCATTGATTTCACACAGGCAGAAATGCCACTGGACTGGAGAAAGAAAAGGAAGCAATAAACAAGACAGCAGAAATTGGTAAAACATGCATGCCATTCTGGATATATTCCAATTTTGGAACACCCCTGTTTGCTCTAGTCCTGCAGCTTCTGTTACAGCTTCATTTTGCAGCACCAGTGAAAAACACACACGAGAAAAAAAAAAACGGTGCTTCTAATTCAGAACTGTCAGAAATGCTGCGTTTCTTCACAGCTGGTCTTTTAAACTCCTCTCAGATTTATCCATTTTAATATTACGGAGTCAAAAAGAAACGCCTCCTGTTCCACAAAGGAACTAATGTGCTTAACTCGGGTGCAAAAGTTTCAAGATTAAAAGGGAAGAACAGCAGAAATTGTACTTTGAAAAAGCATATTGTACTTAGACTTCAGAGGCAGAACCCACACCTCTACGATGAAAAGGACCTTTAATTTTTTTCACTGTTTGGATGAAGATTTACACCCAGAAAGAAAATATCTGTCATAACTGTTATTTCAAGATAACAATCAAGACTTCTAACAGAGCACTCAACTTACTTCCAGTTTTCCCTCACTAACGCCTTTCCCAAAATTTCATCCAAAGTTTCTCCTTTCCACAAAAAACGGTTATTAAAAGCCACTTCCTTGAAAAAGAACATTTTTGGTGCCTGCTTTTCAAGAAAGCTCAGTGGGGTAGAGAAAAAAAGGTGTCCAGAGTGCCACGGGAGGTGATTATTTCCCTTCTCTGTGCCAGTACCTCTGAACATCTACTCACAGAGTTGTGCCTCTCGTGCATCCTCATCTCAAAGGCAGCTTGCCTGGGGTTACAGATTGCCTGAGGGCTGGATCGATTGCCCAGGGCTTGAGGGGAGAACTGCCCACCAAGAATGAAAGCAGGCTGATCCCTCTGAAAGATAAACACAGATGAGCCCTGTTTAATGATCTTCACCAGGCACAACACTTCCGAGTTATAATTTATTAAGCTCTTTCACAAAACTGCCAAAACCCCCCTGCATTTGGTGCCTGTGTTCTTTCCACGTGGGCCAAAAGGCAGTTTTTTGGGGGCTTGGTCTGACTTCCTGGGAGTAACACATCCCTTGTAACAACAGTGAAAAACCTCTGCCACTCTTAACAGGGACAGTCAGAAAAATCATCATTTAAAAAATGAACACAAGGTCTGGAGAGCACTCAGGGAAAACACATGCCCTGACAGTTTTGGAAGCTCCACTTCCTTGGAATGCCCCGTCCAAGAACAGAGCTATGTGGAAATGAAAGTACAAGGCCCGTTTTTAAAATATCACAATATCCTGGGAATATAAGAAAATTCGCCCCAGTAACAGAATTTTAAATTTTTTAACTTTCAAACGGCTTACACACAGGCCAGGAAACACCTGCAGTTCCAACCACCACACCTGCCAAAACCTGAAGTGTCTGGTTTAATTCTTGCTAGTTTTTGCATCGGGTAAGGAATTCGCTTACCTTCAATCTTTTCCTTTTTTCTTTCTGTCGTCTTTTAAAGTTATCCTAGATGAAGAATAAAGGGAAATAAAGTCAGTCAAACATACAGATTTCTTGGGAAATTATTTCATTACAATCCTCAACCGACCAAAACCGTGAGGTTTTTAGGGAATGTTCTGAACAAGACATGGGACAATTCTTCCCTCTGTAAATCCAACAGAAAGGGGATGGAATTTTCTACTCTACCCTGAAAATCTACGGGGGAGAAAAAAAGCAGCTGGGTATTCAAAGCCCCACAATTTTGGTAGTGGCTTAAATGATGAACTGAGTTTAGCTGTAGCCTCAGTTCAGGCTGCCAGCAGTGCCAAAGGACACAAGCTCGGTGCCCAGACTGGAGAGCTGCCAAAAAAACACAGGAGAGACACTAATCTCCTAGAAACAGGAAAAGAAGAGACTCGAGGAAAGATATTTCTTATTCTATGATTCTCAGGCCTGAGAGCTGAACATCAAATTGGCATTTCCACTTCCAGGAGAGGTGCAGGCTGGGGCAACAATATGCCAAACATTTTGCCAACACTGGCACAGTGATTTCAACTCCAAGTGCCTTCTTTCCAGTCAAAAATTACCGAGAATCATAGAATAACAAACCACAAAATTTGTCTTTTTATTTCCTTATTCTCTTAAAGGAGGCTCCTGGGCTAACAGTAACGCACATGATTAAAACCAAACTCCGAGAATGTAATAACAACAAAAAAAATTACATCGTCGTCTTTTCTCTTTTTGAAAATACTGTCCTCAACTTCTCCCACCGCCAGCATGATCATCTGGACCCGCTGCAGGTTGACAAACCCGCTCTCTGTGAGGTACCCCTGCAGGTTAGAGAACAGCAGAGTTGAAAAACAAGCCTGTTGTGCAGCAAACCCCCGGATGTTTTCGAAGGAAAAGCTCTCACCCCGGTTTTGTGCACCACGTTTTTATAGATGTTCACCAAGCGATCGATTGCTCCCTCCCTAAACACAAACCAAAGGGTTAAATAACTCCTGTTATTGAGAAACACAGGGAGTATTCCTGCAGGAAAAGAAAACGTGTCCTCATCTACCTGATCTCCAGAGATGGCAGGTGAGGCAGAAAGTCATTTCCCACGAAGAAGCACATGAAGACCCAGTCATCGACACTTCTTTCGAAATCAAACGTGAAAGGCAGGCTGGCCATAGTGAGTTCCCTCTCCAAATACTGCAACACGTGGAAAAGGACATTGGGAAAGGCTGCATGGAGTTTAAAATGTTAGTTACACAAAGCAGCTGGAGCAGCTGCTCCACCTCACCTCCCTCAGGACACACAGGCGGATGAAGATGAACTCCTGCTCCGCCACGGGAAGGGTGTCGGCAAACTGGTCGTGCTGAAACCAAAGGAGAGCCACGTCACACCCCGGCTCTCCTTAGAGCTTCTCCAGCTCCATTTCCAAGGAGTCAAGAAGGCTACAAGAACAGGCTCCCAAGCCCTCGTGCCGAGCATGCATTTTGCTGCTTTGCTGTCTGAAGTTACTGATCATTTGTTCTCAGCAGCGATAAAAAAACCCCAAACCCAAAATACCACAAGTGAGGATATCAGCTTTGGCATAATACTCTTGTACTGCACAAGTACAACTTTCACCTCTGAGAGGTCAGTCAGGTATTTTCAACAACAACTTGCATCATGCTTCAGTCAAAACCAACAACAAGAACTATTTATTTGAGGATCTCATTATACACAAGCTTATAGATTAAAAAAAAAAATCTAGAAATAGCAAAATTCTTACCTTTCCTTGTTTTTCTCTGGGCAAACCTTGGCAATCCTTAACCTCATGACCCATCTGGTTACAGAGAGCACACGGCTTGGGTTTATTTGGTTTGAACTCCTCCCTAATTATAGTGAAGTTTGGTTCGTGTGTAGCTAAGCCAAGCATAATCAGATCAGCTACCAATCAAGAAAAGAGTAAAATATGATGAGAGATAAACAGTATTAAGCTTTAAAAGAAAAAAAAAAATACAACTTCAGAAGCAAAGCAGATTCTGCTTTCAGCAAGTGTGAACACACCAATGTGCTTCACCCACAAACCACCCCCTCAGGACAACCCCAGGGAGCTGTGGGCAGGGCTGGACCCTTCCCCATCCATTACACACAGCTTTCCACAACTGACAAATCCACCGGATTATTTACACGTTCCCAAGTGAGACACAGTCCAATTCAATCCCAGAACAGCACAAGGAAGCTTAACAGGACACATTTCTAGCAAGAGAGAACTCACCATCAGCCCCACACAGACAGTGGTGAGTGTTTGGGTCATGATTTGGTTGAGCTGTACAAAAGAAAATTACATTTAGTCAAAATCACGTAAAATAAACTCTTATTAGCCATGCCTTAATTTAAAACAAAAGGTCCACATTTATTTGAATTTTACCTCTCTGTCTCCTAATGTAATCCATGATTTTATGTTCCCCTTCACCAGGAGCACTGGCATCCGACAAAATAACCTGCAACACATTCCACTTGTGTCAATAATTAATGCTGCCACAGTAAAAATCAACAACTTACGCAGTTCATACACTGAATACAGAACCTGACTTATGAACACTTGAAATTCTAATCTGCAGTTTCAACTATTTCAAAATGAAATTATTTAAGAGCCTGGAACCAATGAACCTTCATTTTCCCCCTCCAATTCCAAGATGAAGGGGATGTATTGATTCAAACCCCACTGAAGTGATCAGGCCATATTTTTGTTTCCTGATAAATTACTAGGGCAATGGAACAGGCACTAGAGGACTCACGGATTAAGCACACACGTGTCTGCTTCCCTTTGGATCTTCCCAACTCATCGATGCCCCGAAACATGATCACAGCAGACCCCTCCTCACCCCGGCGTCAATTCTTAGCACAAGCATTTATTAAGCACTAGCTTAATAAAGCATTAGCATTTATAAAAACCCAGGTCTGATGGAGGGAATCAAGCAGAGCCAACTGCCCTCTAATTAGGCCACTTGAACAGTCAACTCATGGCAAATAGCACAGGCAGCTGCATTAACTGAATCCTCTGCCCCCTCGTACAGAGCAAACACAGGACTGTCAGAAACTGGGACTGGAGTGCTTGAGGAGAGGAAGAGAGAATTTCCAAGTCCAGAAAGGCAAGCAAGCTGACATGTATTACTGTCATTGCCTGCCATCCATCATTAGAGCGACAGAGAAAATGCAGCCCACTGAGGGAGCAATTAGAAAAAAGAAACAGTGCAAAAATTACATCTACAGTGTATCTTGACGCTTCCCCCAAAAGAAGCAAAAGTATTCCTAAAGCCCTGCCTCCCATTATGTCAAATTGTGGCTTCTACTGGCAAACCTCCTCTTTGCTCTTCAGTGAAATCAAAGCAAATGGTGCTGGGGGATGGAGTTATCAGGAGGAAATGGTCTCTGAAGTCACAGCAGGACGTGCCAGTCGGCCCATTATTAATAAAAGCACAGAGCCAGGCCAAGAGATAAATCTGCTAAATTTCTGCTCTTCAATCAGATCCCAGCCCAGCCCAAACACCTCCTTCATTTCTCTCAAGTAGGAAGCTGGGAACTCACGGTGAGGTTCTTCCAGCCCGGGTCGCTGTTGAGGCGGTCGGCGATGTAATAGCGCAGGCATTTCGCCAGATTGTCCATGAACTCCGTCCCCTGGAAGGGGTGGGAAGGAAATAAATGAAACCTTCACTCAGACACTGGCAATTGCTGGGTGAAGTGCCAGGTCACTCACCGGGGTAATGCAGTTGCTGTCAAATCTCTCCTTCACTTCTTCTGGAGGGAGAAAGCCACCTGGAGCAGCAGAAACAGGGAGCAGAGTCAGATCAGCGTGGACCATTTAAAACACTTCTGCATGATAAAACCCCACATGGCTCCCCAGGTAACAATTAACTCACTGAAATCAGTTTCTTAAAAAAAAAAAAAAACCAACACCCACGAACCAAAATTAAACCAGCTCTTACCATAATATCTCCAAGTCTGAGGTGTCAGTACATCTACAAACGTGACTTCAGCAAACACTGCTACACATTCCCCTTTCACTCCAGCCATGTCACCATCACCCTCAGAAAGTTGCTCTGACTTTTGTTTCCTCACTGAATTTAGAGTTTCCACTGTCAAGTAACTACCCTTGCTCGCAGCTCATTATCCCTGTGTAGGAGTATTTCCATCTGATCCCTGCTTTTAAGCCTCAACACTCCTTGCATCGAGCCCTACAAATGTGTACTTCCTTCCATAAGGGTTTTAGTTGCTTCCTCACTACATTTATCCCTGCTCTTCTGTTCAATTTATTTTCAAAAGGAATTAAGAGCACTCAACACAAATTCATTTCAGGCAGGAGACAGAAGAAGAAAAAAAAGTGACATTTTGTTTTATCTTAGTTCTTAACTTTGGAGAACACTGATCCAGCCTTCTGCAGGCTTGTTATCCCCTCCTCCTCCCAGCAATGCATACACATCCCTTCTCTAAACCTTACTGAATCTTTCAAAACAAGGTGATTCTCATCAGAAAACCTCCAACACGGTCACTGGTTCACCTTTGGCCAGAATTTCTTGTCTTATTTTCTGCTTCTCTTCAGCAGCCTCCATGCCCTCCTTCGACGCTCTGAATCTCCTTGACCGCTGTTGGTTCATCTTGGCACGTGGGGCCTAAAAAAAAGGGAATGAGAAGGGCTTGAAGGTCCTTTCCAACCCAAACCATTCCACGACTCTAGGTACCGAGGGGAGATGAGGATCAGGTGGGGAGAAAGACAAGCTTCCAGCCTCAAAGGTCCCTGAAGGCTCTGAAATATTCCACACCACAACTCCATCACTGCCCATCTGAAGTGCAGCTGCTCAAACCAGCTGCTCTGGTCCTTTCCAGCCTGTGGTGTAAATTATTCCTAAAGCCACAGAACAGAGGAGCAGAAGTAGTCTCGGAGTGTCACTGTCTTTTACAAGTTTCCAGCAAAGCTCAGGCTGCAGCAGACTCCATCAGCCAGCTCCCACAGGATAACAAACCCCAGGGGTACTACTGATTACCCTCACCAAAATTCAATTAACAGTCTATTTTACCTACAGCTTTTCATTTCAGAACACCATTTCCCGAAGGATCTCACGAGACCTGATGGCACCTACCCTGATCTCACAGCTGGAAAGGAGATGTGTCAGTACTCACCACTCCATCTATGGCCATGTAGAGGAGCCTCCTCGGCCTCACGATGTTGAAGATCCTGTCGATGTACTCGAAAATCGCCACCATCATTTCATCTTCGTTTTTGGGTGCTGGCCTGAAACACAGGGCATGCAGTTCAATGACTGGAATGCTGCCACTGAAGAGACAAGCTAACTGTAAAGAGACAGAAGTGCCTTACTTGTCTTCTGGATGCGTGCAAGGGTGGATGATGCCGTTCATGTCCAGGTAGAGGTTATCAAACTCCACCTCGTTGGGGTTGGGCTTGCTGGTGTCGATGGGAACCTTGACTCCATTGCACTCCTTAGCCTGGGGGGGCAGTCAGGACAAAGGTTTCAGTACCAGTAACCAGCAGTTGTGAACGCACAGACTCAAAAAAGTATTTTTATTTTTTTTGTCCCCAGTGGCAGTAGAAGAAAAAGATAGCAGCAAGTGCCCACGTGATCACTTGGAGCTGCACCTTTCACTATTAAATAGCCCTTCTTTTAAGAAGCTGTTTGTGAACCAGCACAACCAGAAAATGTTACGATAAGTTATGGCAGAGTTGATAATTTCTGCTGAAAACAGAAGTTTCCACCTCTCGTATTGTTCCAGACAGCAACTCCTTTTACTGCCAGGAGCACACTGATTGCTCCACAAGAAGGAAGGAGAGATCCTTTCAGATCCCCCAGCCAAGCCTCCACATTGGGTCTTCACATCTTTCCTTTCCTCACGACCATCAGAAGCTCTGAGATGCTCAAAGCCCTGAAGTCTTCAACTCCTGCCTCCAAGCCTGCCTGTGGATAGATCTGAAGTGCTAAATAAAATCCAGAAATCCAGACATTGCCTTCGTCCCTCTAAGGCTTCACCTCTTCCTGGGTTCTCTTTCTACTGCCCCAAGAATGTGGAGCTGGGGTCGCAGTGCAGATGGGAAATGCCACGTGAACTTCTCATCACCCTAAACCCCCCTGAGCCACCTGTGTTCCTGGGCTACCCCAGCACTGGATTCTTCAACAAGGTGGATCAGCGACCACGGTCGATTTTGCTTCCTCACCATAATTTTGGGTTTGTTTGTTTTGTTTGGGGTTTTGTTGTTGTTGGGTTTGTGGTTTGTTTGTTCTTTTTTTTTTTTGGGTTAGTTTGGTCAAAAGGCAATTAGCACTGATTCTCCTGTCCCTCTCCCTTCTCACTCCCTCTTCCCTTTCAAGGCAACACCTCCAGCCACACACATAAGGCACCGGATTAAACCCCAATAGCACGGAAGAGACACGACCTGAGCAAGGAAAAGCCCCACGATTTCCAGAGAAATTGTGACTGGAACATCCCACAAAGGTGGAATGATGCTTGCTCTTGAACAGCCTGGCATAAAGCAAAGTTAAAACAGGAATGGCATGTTCTGAGGCGTGAACTGACTGAACTTATCCTTGTCTTAAAAGGTCAAAATGAAATCCTCTAAAGCAACATAAGTCTTCATTTGGTATTTGCATTTCTCACAGCCACAGGTGTGTGGAATTCTTTCAGGGCAAGCTGTGAAGTCATTTTTAAATAACTGAACACTAACCCCCCCCTATTTTAAAGGGGGAAATTTCTGCTAATTCACACCTTTTTAACACTTGGGTTCTACTTGATCGCCCCCCACCCTCTTGCTGGAGCTGAACGGGACTCAGGGGACATCAAAGCCTTACAACCACGTGATATGGAAAACAAACTCACCCTGCCACAGACCTGACTTCCAGTCTCCAAGGCAAAGTACGGTAAGTGTGATCTCGTTCAGAGCCTTCAGCAGCCACCTTCCATCTGCACAGCCCCACAAACCCAACAGGGTTTTCATGTAACAGCCTTCTAGAAGGTTTAAGTATCTGGCAGCGATATCTCTTGTGATATAACTAAACTGTTCACTTCTAATCTACAGCCTCTTTTGAAACCATTGAAAACAGATCTTCAAACATGATACTTTAGTTGCAGCTTTATTAATTCGTATCAATTTGATTAAGAATATTCTCTCCTGGATTTTTTTATTATCTTCAAGATCTCCCTCTCATTCTTCCTGCTCAGCTTAAGAAGAAGATTATTTCCTTTTCTTAAATCTGATTAATCTAGCAAGGTAAGAGAACAAGGATCAACTTTTTAATATTTCAAAGAGACAAGCTACCGGGAGATACAAAATTTCTGATTAGAGAGATTTATGGCAATCCTAAAACACACACGGAGCTGATTACATCGTGAGAGAAGCTTAAATTCATCTACAGTAAGACAAACTACAGCTTCTCCCTGCTGTCCTGCTCTGCTCTCAGATTTATGGCCAGATTTGAATATAAAAAAACGTTAATGAACACGATTTATCCGGGCTGTAATTGCAACGTGCTCTTGAGCAGGAACAAGGCACCGAGAGGGAGGGACCAGCAGCTGCCACCGCAGTTACTGCAACTGGAACTCAGCCCCACAGAAGTTGTTGTGCCTTTCCGTTCATCTTAACAGAAAGAACTTGGGCTGTTATGAGCTCAGATATTAAAGATCAGCAAAAAGGACCTAGTCAGTAAAACCAGATCTGCACAAACCTTTGTTTTACCTGAATAGGAGAGCAGCTTTGATTGCACAGAGATTCATCCAAATGTTTACCAGTGTGATGAAAAAGGTGAGTCCCCTGCCCACCCAACTGTTACAGGTGTATTTGTGTTTACATTGGGGCTGCTTTTAAATGACAGATCTCAAAGAGTTATCCAGAAACAGCAGGATCTCCAGCAGGCACGAACATGGCACGTGACCATGACAGCCCCTGAACCGAGGGATCCCCAACCCTCAGGACAGACCCCCTCAGGGATAACAACCCCCAGGAGTTTGGTACAGCAGCAGAACCACCAGTGCTGCCATGGCAGCTCAGATCAGAGCCAGAACTCACAGGAGCTCAGAATTGAGGGAAACTTTTAAGCCCCAACCCCACCTTTTTTTCTAGAATAGTTCCCCAGAAAAACACTTAGATCTTAATTATCCACCTGTTAAAAATTCACAGGTAAAATAAACTTCACACCTCACACCCAGAGAGGCTGAAACAACAACTGCAATAAAACCACCAGAGTCACTCACAGCTTTAACCAAATATCTGACTCTGCTTCACTGCTTGAATCTGAAAAGCAAAAACACTCTGAAAAGCACAGAACTGAACACTAAAAGCGACCTGGAAACCTGCTGCAGGCAGGGCACACGTGCAGCCTCAACACGGAATTCCTCTCTTCCCTTCTCTCCTCCACCTTGCTCCCACACCATCCCCTTCCCAGGCGCTTCCCCAGGGTGAGGCACACCTCTCCCGAGGAAGGAGGAGGCAGAGGAGGCACAGGCTCAGCAGCAGGGACCTGAACTTCCCAAGGCAGTGTTTGGAAGGGCAGAACTCAGCCAAGCACAACACAGCCACAGAGAATACAAAGTATCTGGAAAAGCATATGGGAAAAGCAGTTTGGAAAGCGAGAACTCCAGCGTTTGTCTGCTCAGAAACACTCTGAGTTAGCTCTGGGGTAACAGGGCACTGAAAAGCCACCACAGGGCAGCTACTCAAAGGCTGCAGAGGAAGGGAGACCCCTCCATCCTCCCTGTCCCCTCCCACCGCCTCCCTTGGCACAGCACAACGTTCCCGTGGCTGCAGGGATGTGCCCTAAGCAACCAGCCTAATAAAAACATGCAAACAGACATAATTCCAGCTGCCTTACTGCCCTGAAGGGCACCTGCAGGACCCAGCAGCAAGGCTGGGGCTGAGCCTTCACCAAAACCACCTCCTGCTGCCACGGAAAGCCAGATTTTACAGCGTGCCTTTGGAAAAATCAGCTCTGTGTTCGGGCAGGAGGGGTTTCTCCTGCACAGAGAAAACACCAGCAATGAGACAAAAACTCCTGAGGCTGCTCGAAGTTACAGAGCACAAGCCCAGACTTGTTCTGAGTCCTGGATGCAGCGTGATGTCCTGGGTTCGTGGGGGTATTCCAAAAATAAAGCACCAGGATAAAGCAGGAAGCTGCAGAACAACTAAGATGTGAAATAAAATAATGAGTAAGACCTGGAAATGACCCAGCTGTGAGTTATTCGGGAGGCTGAGAGCCCCAGGAGGCAGACTACCATGTGTACAGTGGGGATCTCTGATCTCCCACGAACCCCCTGCAGCTCCAAGGGACAGCCCAGTTTCTTCTCCAGTGTCCCACTCCTGCCCTCCCTCGTGTTCTGGCATCCCCTCTCCCGATCCCACACCCCCAGCAGGACCCTGGCACTTACGTTCCTGCAAACAGGGAGGTCTCGGGGAAACCGAGACGCTCCCAGACCCTCAAACTGTTTTTAACCATTTCCGTTGCATTTCCTCCCTCTTCCCAAGACAAGCAGCTGCACTTGCGTTTCCAGCAAGTCCCGGAGCTCGCTGCAGCTCCTAATTCCCCAGAAAAAAAAAAAAAGCTGTGGAAAGCAGGAACTAGGAACAACACACAAGAAAAGCACCGCCACTGTTCCCTGCTCAATCCAAAACACTGCCACAGATCCCGCTTTTCCTGCCCGGGGCTGCAGAGGCAGAGCCCACCGCGCCGGGAAGGGCTGGGATCCCGGGGAACGGGCTGGAGACCGGGGAATCGTGGGAGAAAGCCGGTTCCCTGCTCCAGGTGCCCGTCCATCCCCGCTGTCCCACGGTGCCCGTTCCCGCCGCTCCATGTGCCCGGTGCTCCACGTGGAGTTAAACTGACGGTGCCTCCCCCTGCGCCGGGGCCGCTTCCACCGGCACCGAAAGCCCCCCCAAACAAACCCCCACCCCAAACCACCCCACGCCACAAACTCCCCGAACCAAACCGGAACCGCCGAACAGCCCCCCAAACAAGCAAACAAATAAAACCGAACGAACATAAACAAGCGGCGCCGGGGAAAGGGCGGGGGGGGGGGAGCTCAGCGCTGCGGCCCAGCCGGCCCCGCGGAGCGCCAGCGGGCCCGCGGCGCGGCGGGCGGCGGTGCGGGGGGCGGCTCACCTTCTCCTCGACGCAGTTGACGATGATGGAGGGGTACTTGCGGCTGAGCCAGCGGAAGAAGGCCGGGACCCCCATGGCGAGGCCGGGAGCAGGACCGGGGCCGGGAGCGGGACCGGCGGCTCCGCCGGCACTTCCGGGGTCGGGGGCGCGCGGGGCACGGCGGGAAGGGGGCGGGGCCGCGCCGCCGCCATCTTGGGTGCGGGCTGAGGGCACCGCCATGGCGGCGGGGGGGAACCGCTGCCCCACAGCCCTAAACAGGCAGTTTATCAGCAAAAACACCCTCCGTTAGCTCCTTGCTAATAAAAGCCGAGCGCGGGCTGCCGCCGTGGGGTGGTTCGGGCGGCAGCACACGGCAGGGCTGCCCAACGAGCCAGTAATGACGCATGGCAGAGACATCGGTGATTTATTTAAGCACTGCCCAACCCTGAGTGCTCGGTGTATTCCACAGATGTGTCGTTATTTATACCAGAAAGCCAGTCAATAACTTCCCAATCACAGCCCCTCTACTAGGATTGATCAGTAATTTTCATGCAAGTTACGCAAGTTACATCAACTTCCCTGCGTCCTTTTCACCTGTGCAGGGTCTTCTTCGACCTGCAGGCATCATTTTTAGTATTACAGTGAACACAGTTCAGCTGTAGGATACGCAGACCTTGAGTATTTCGCCAAGTTAATAATGCATACATAGACAGACATTAACATCTTGATTTACTGTGTCCCTAAAACTCGTTAGTTCCTGGATGCCCTTGGCTGAGGGATGCAGCTGCTGCCTGTCCCACTGACCAGGTCTCCTTTCTTGCTGATCAGGCTTGAAAGTATGTAAAGATCAAACAACAAAGAACATCCTAAAATAATCTTGACATATTCCACATTTTGCAACACCAAAAGCAATTCAGGGCACGGCCGCTCTGTCCCTCTGAAGGGGACGTTTCCAGACGCAGCCGGTGTGAAATGGCTCCATGTGATCCACGACGGCGGCACGAGGCAAAGAGCCCCCATCCCCTCGCTCTGCCCGTGGCATAAGCAAATACTATTAATTTGTGGCTGTTTGACGGCACCGGAATGGAATTAAACACTCGGGTATTAAACGGGATTAACACGAGGCAGGATTCTGCGCTCCACCGTGTCCTGCTGCCGCATGGCAGCTCCGTCAGGAGGGCAGGGACAGGGGCGAGGACAGGGAAAAGCAGCCCGGGAATCATTAACAAAAATAACAAAATCTCAGCAGTGCTTGTTGAGTCAATGCCGCCAATTTGGGGAGCGGAGGGGAACCTTGGTACTGGGCTAATTCTCTGTAGAACAAATTAACCCAATATTGTGTCTCTCATTATTCTTATCCTCACTTGGCTGTTGTTAAGCCGTTTTCTGTTGTCGTTCCTCTCAATAAAATCTGTGACTTGAATAAATTTCCCCGGCAACTTTGTAGTGGCACCACACCTGTGGTATCAGCTAAAGATTGTCCTTTATCTGTTCCTTACAAAACAGTTCCCTGATTGAAGCTTCCTATTGTAGTGCTTCCCCTCCTGGAATTTCGTGCGGAGTACGGCAGCTTAGCATTAACACTTGGTTTGTATTGATGGGCAATCAGTTGTTTTTCTGATAATGCCAAAGAAAAACAGAAGGCTGGCGGGACGCAAATGAAACGCGATCGTCTTATCTTATAATTACTTGGGTAAACAAGTGCTGGAATAATTAATACTGCAACAAACAATTCCTTGAAAAGTTGGTCTAAGCACCAGCAGCCATGCCGGGGCATGAGCCCGGGTCCCACCTCCGAACTGCGTGTCCGTGAGAAGCGCACGGAGCGCCGTGTCACCGCGAACAGGAGCAGGGAAGGCTTCCCATTAGGGTATTTTCCAGGGATGAGTGGCGTGCCGATGGAAATCTGCCCGGGCTGTATTGATTCCAGTCCCCCTGTCCGTCACCGTCACCTGCCATCATCCCCGGCTGCGGCGTGACAGGCGTGAAGGAGCGGAGCAAAGTTGACTGGCAGGATGTTTTGCATGTAATGAGCCTGTGCACAATAAGAGCATCACAAATGCTGCTGCTGCGGAGGAACTCGGCTATCGCTCCGACACCGAGAGGCAGAGATTGCCCGCGCTCGGCTCCCGCAGCCATCCGTCACCTGTCACGGGCCACACGTCGGGGGCTGAGCCGGACTGAGGGATGGAAACCCCACAGGCTGGTGTCATGCCAGCAGATATACAGTGGGCTGACATCAGCAGCCGGGAATCGCTCAGGAAGAGCTTAAAGCTGCACAGACACCACGGATCCGAGGCAATGTCACATGGCAGCACGGGCTGCTGGAGGGACTTTTCCAGCTGAACCTTGGGCTGACAGTGCCTGAGCCATCCCGTACCACAGCCTGCCTGTGCTGGGATACTGGGGAGCTTGCATCTGCAGATGGGTAGGACCATCCAGAGTGACTTACCAGGAATTAGGGATGATAAGGAAAAGGCAGTGAGGGGTGATGACACCGCAGCCCTCGCGCGCTGGGTTCAGACATGATTCAGCTCTCCCAGGCGACACTGCAGCTCACAAGGAAAAACCTCATCCAGACTCACCTGGCTCCATCCTTGGTGCAGCTGATTTCCCAAATCCCAGAACATTCCAGGCTGCACCTTCACCAATGCTGGACTGTAACCCACAGCAGCCAGCTGCACCAAGGGTTTCTGCTCATCTCCAAGCCTTCTGTGAGCCATTATTTCAAACTGCTGAGCTCTCAGCCCAAGTGTTTTTATCAAATTCAATGTTGTTACCATTTTTAAGTTGTTTTTGAGGGACAGGGTGTGGAGATTGGTGGCTGTGGCAGATGTGGGGCTGCGGCGCAGCACAGTTTAATTGGGGTGCTGGTTTCTGCTTTTGAACTTGTCATCATGATGAACAGCTTTTTTTTTAATATGTCTCCCTTCGAAAGAAAATCTCATGTTTAATGAACTTAATTTTAGATAAAAGGAATGAAAAGAAGGAAATTAAAAATGCATGAAGCTCCTAGAGTCATCCAATTACTGTGATGTCCACACAGCAGCACCAGCACAGATTTCACAAAGCAGGGAAAAGCAGGAAAGCACTGGGGCTCTACACATGTAAATGCTGCTCTCTTCCAAAATGTGCTGAATTACAAATGGACATTTTATGCATTTCTTCTTCTTGATCTGTTGCAGAAGAAGATAAAGATCAAACAAGCCAGCCCGCCCCAGCAGTGCCTGTCTGCGTACCCACAATGCTCGTCTGCTGCTTTCCTAGCTCTGGAGTCCAAACAGTGGAATGCAGACAAGCCTCAGGAGGGGGCTCTCAGGGGGCAGGGTTACTGTCAGAGCAGGTCAGAGAGAGCACACCTACGTACAGCGTGTAGGACCCGTGATGTTTATTTGGTATTTACATTTCCTTTGCCCGCAAAGCGACGAGCAGCGCTTCAGCCCACAGCACACTCACTGTGAGGGTGAGTGGGCTCTGAAACAACGCTTCTGCTTCTCCCCAGAAGCCAGCAGGGAATCTCAAGCATAGAAGTCATCGAAGTCGTCTGACTGGGCGCTGTGGGTCTGCGGGCGCAGGGCGGCCTCGAGCTCGGAGCTGCTGTCGTCGGATTCGCCCCAGAACGCTGCGGGGGAGGACACAGAAACCACAGCAGTAAAACCCTTTCCACGGGGGTGCCCTCTGTCACAGGCACGACCGCTGGGCAGCTCTCCCCAGGCCCCGTGGCTGACGGAGGAGGTGCAGTCTGAAGCCCCCAGCCTAGGTTGTGTGTCCGGCCCCGCACGGTGCCCGGGGCAGAGCGGCTGTGCCCGGACAGCGGCTTCATTCAGCACTCCCACTCCATTGTGCCTCAAGGTAGCTGGGCAGAACATTTCCACTCCAATCAATTTACTTGACCAGCTGCTGCCTGAATTGCAGCTTTGTCTATTCTCTTCCCCTTTCTCTCGCTGCTACTTGACCCCGCGGTGAAGTCACCAGCGGGCCATGACATCACAGAGTTGGCACAAACATGGCAGTGACGTCACAAGCAAAAAATCACCACTTGGAGATCAGATCAGACCCGGGCAGGCCTGATCTCCACAGAAGACATGGCTTTAACTGACAGCTCTGGGAACTGGCAAACCCTTTCCCTGACATCAACAGAACCCCCCTGCAATTCAGAGTGCCCCGAGAGATTTCTCAATATGTAAATTCATTTAACCCAGGGATAAAACACAGTGGGAAGTGTGGCACCTGAAGTCAAGGCTGCAGTGGCTGACAAAGCTGTGCTCTCTGTTCCCAACCATTCCAGAGGCTGCTGGCTCTCCAAAGGCAGTGTGGGAGCTGCGATGCCTGGAATGAGGCCCGGGGATGGAGGCGGCGGAGGGCGGAAGGCTGTCACGCTCACACACACACTGCAGCTCGTGTCTGAGGCTCTGCTAAGGCCTCTGACGGCACCAGCTCCACGAACACCTTATCTACAAATGCAGCAGCTGCATCTTTCATCCTCCATCCCGGCCCCCTGGGCCGTGCTTCACCGGGAACATCAGAGCGAGCCCGGCACTCACTCCTGTGTGGAATGGCTCCAGGAACGGGGCTGGGGATGTCAGAGCCTTTCAAGTGGCACCAAAGCAGCCACTGCTGATGGCATCCGTACCTCGGTGCAGTGCCACACCTCTGGGACTGTGCCATTCCAGACTGCCAAGCATCTGGAGCGGGGCTCCAGGCAAAGGGCTCCCAGAGCTGCCTCGCTGGCAGGAGGCTCAGCTAGAGGCATCTGCAGGCCCCTGAGGGGGCCTTGGGGTGGGTAAAAGGGAGAACTGGAATGTTGGAGAGTGAAAACATGCAGGGTCCACCCACCAATTCAGAACAAAACCAGCCGGGCAATGGACAAAACCATCCAGCTGCACCCATGTCCTGCTGTGGCCCTGCTGTGGGAAAACCAAGGAAACCTCAGGTTTCTCCTTCTCTAGGTTTCCTCCACTTGCAGTCCACAGTCATTTGACTAAACCCTGCAGAGATCTTGACTCCTTCCACACTACCTGCACCATAAACACCTCCTTTCTGTCCTAGAATTTGCTCTCCTCAGCTTCCTGCTGGCTCCTGTGTTGAGACAGGGCAATTCCACTCTTTCCTGTCTCCATACTTTATACAGGTCATAACGTAGTTGTGGGAGGGTTTT